TAGGAGGCGGGTGCAGGGGACTCTCCCCCCCCCACTGGCACTCTGTTCCCTCTCCCCGACCCCCAGCCCCCAGCCACAGAACTCCATCCCCAGTCCACCTCTTCCCAGCACAGAACATCTACCTGCTTTCTCTCAAGCATAGTGTGACTGCATCAACCTCTTCTCAAACAGCTCAATTGGGTCCCCAAACATTTCAATTTCCAGATCAGAAATGACATAATTAACACCTTCTAAGGGCTCCTAAGACTGTCCTCTCTTCCTCTCGCCATCCTGTTTCACTCTTCTTTCACTCTTAGGCTATGCTTACACTGCACAGTTATTTCAGAATAAGCTAATCCAGGATAGTTATTCTGAAATAGCTTATGTTGAAATATCACGTCTACACTTCACGTCTACACCAGCCTCAAAACTAATCTGAGGCTGCCTTCCCTAATGTCGACGAGCTATCTTGATTTAGAGCCCCAGGAGGAATAACTTAGAATGACCCTGGTGAGGGGCAATTTTGAAATAGCAGAAGTGGGGCGTCATCACACACCTTATTTTGAAATAGTTATTTCACAATAGGCGTTATTATTCTGCATAGAATGAGGTTTACAGAAGTCAGAGTAAGCCGTCTGAAGTAACGAAATTGCTGTGTAGACACTCACATTGTTATTTCAGAATAACGGCTGTGATTCGGAAATAAATTTGCTGTGTAGACACACCTTTACTATCCTCCTTTCTGCCACCTGAAATGCCTTGCCTGTATCTTTCTCCCTCATTTTACTTCTCTCCTCGTCTCCAATTATTTTAACTATGTATCTGTATTGTTTATATCTATAAAGCATTCTGAGATAGTCTGTATGGCAGAAGCTATGTTCAAAGTAAGTTACATGATTTCATATAAAATATGGATGCTATTTGTAAATGAAAAAGCAGCAACAAAAGACACTGGGGAAAAATGAACAATTCATTCTATAAAATAATAACAGCACTTAAATAAAAAAATAAAATGATTAGGGGGTTTGGAACAGGTCCCATATGAAGAGAGGCTAAAGCGACTAGGACTTTTCAGTTTAGAAAAGAGGAGACTGAGGGGGGATATGATAGAGGTATATAAAATCATGAGTGGTGTGGACAGGGTGAATAAAGAAAAGTTATTTATTAGTTCCCTAAATAGAAGAACTAGACGATACCAAGTGAAATTAATGGGTAGCAGGTTTAAAACTAATAAAAGAAAGTTCTTCTTCACACAGCGCATAGTCAACCTGTGGAACTCCTTGCCAGAGGAAGCTGTGAAGGGTAGGACCATAACAGAGTTTAAAGAGAGGCTAGATAATTTCATGGAGGTTAGGTCCATAAAAGGCTATTAGCCAGGGGACAGAAATGGTGTCCCTGGCCTCTGTTTGTCAGAGGCTGAAGATGGATGGCATGAGACAAATTGCTTGATCACTGTCTTTGGTCCACCCCCTCTGGGGCACCTGGTGCTGACCACTGTCGGCAGACAGGATACTGGGCTAGATGGACCTTTGGTCTGACTCAGTATGGCCATTCTTATGTTCTTAACACTTCCTTGGTATTTTCCCTATTCAAAGCCCATTTCACATACTGTTGTTGTTCCTCGTAGCAATTCAGTTCAATTATACAAATGCTCATCATATAAAAAGGAAGTATTCAATTTTAGAGAGATACGTCAATGGACTGCATGTAGATTATCACCAAAGAATATGAAAATTAATGTAAAAACATTACATTACCTTTCCTTGTAGCTAATAAAAATTTGATACAGGTTCTGGTCATTTTTGTTTACAATGGAATCATGAATGTCCTGCATTAGACTTCTGTGGGTTTTCACCAATTCCTTAAAAACAGCAATATAAGGAAAAAGATAAAACACCAGATAGAACCCCTACAGCTTCCAAATAAAGATTAGTGTCTTCATATATATTTGTTAATTCCAACTAAGGCACAAATCACAAATTAGCTGCTAATTTCATCATTTGCTTTAAAGGAGTCAAGATATACTGTTAGGACATGTCTACATTACAAATTGTGTTTGACGCAAGTTATATCAGCGAACAGCTGCTGAAGTTAGTACATCGCTCGTGTACGTGTGCTTGGTTGCTTACATAAGCCCTGTGCATACTCACTAGGAGTGTTTGTATCAATGTTAAGTGCAGTGCATCACAAGTAGCATCCCAATGTACCATTTGACACCATTTGACACAATGTCTTTTTGGGAAATATTCAAAATGTGTTGTGGGAAAGAAAGGACTTCCCCAGGGATTTCTGGAGCTTGGGGTCAAGTTCTTATGCTGTAACCGTCTCCATCCCATAATGCCATCAATACCCCCAAATTTTTGTGCTTTTAAAAAAAATCCCCCAAACCTGTTCAGCATTCTTTGGTGTCTTCCCTTTGTGTCATAGGCGTAGAGCCCATGGAGCTCTGCACTATTCTCAAAAACACTGCAAATACAGAATGCATAATTCACCTATCTTTGCAGACCTACAGGAAGTACCACAGCAACCAGGTGACATAAGGATTCCTTCAAGGACAGTTTGCTGAGGAGCATAATGAAAAACAGTTGGTGATGGTATTTACGGAGCAGCTGCAGATGGTAGAGTGTGACTCCAGGCCCAAGAAAGAAGCACTGACTGGTGGAATCGCATCGTAAAGCAGGTTTAGGACAAGGAGCAGTGGCTGCAGAACTTTTGGCTGCAAAAGAACACATCACTTGCTCCTTGTGCTGAGTGGGAAACTGCATGGTGATCACTCCCTGGAAGCTTGCAATGCAAAATTGCTACCAATCCATGGGAAATCATTTTGGAGTTGGAAAATCCATGGGGGCATGGAGGAAAACATTGTCATAGGAGTCTGTAGGACCACTAATCATCTGATATGCAGGATTGTGACTCTCAACAATCTTCAGGAAATGGTGAATGGGGTTCCCAAACTGCACTGGAGTAACAGACAGCGTGATTATCCTTATTTTGGCATCAGCCCACCTTGCTATACAATACATCAACAGAAAGTGCTACTTTTCCATGGTTCTGCAAGTGGGGTAGATCACCCATATTGATGCTGCCAAGGATGGTGCATAATCCTTGCATCCTTAAAAACACAGGACTGTTCAGAAAGCAACAAGAATATTCTTCCTTATCAGCACATTATCATTGCCAATTTTAACACTCCAATAGTGGTACTGAGAAACTCAGCCTACCCTTTGCACCGCTGGCTCATGAAGCCATACACCAGGGGTGGGGAACCTCAGGCCCGGGAACCAGATGCAGCTCCTGGCTTTCCTAAATCTGGCCCCCAAGGCTCAGGGCCCCCTCTCCAGCATTGGTCCACACTGGTCCTCCCACTGCCCCACAGCACACAAAATCTACTAGCCTGGGGGCCCCCTAGGCTCTGATGTCTGAGAGAAATATGGAGAGTGTCTTTCTCCTTCTCAATCATGTCAGTGAGGGATTTGTTTGTTTGTTTGATTTTTTGTTTCTTGATTTTTGTGGTTTTTTGCTTCTCACTTGTGTGCAACCCCCGGCTGATTTTTCTGTGGGTCAGCAGCCCCCAACCCAAAAAAGGTTCCCCACCCCAGCCATACACAGACTGCCTCAATAGCCCCAGGAAAGATTTAAGTATTGGCTCAGCAGATGCAAAATGACAGCTGAGCATGCTTTTGCTGATTGAAGGGGTACTGGTTTACTTATTAGACTAAATGCTGCTTGCAGTGTCCTGCATAACATTAGTGTGGCAAAGGCAAAAACTGTCACCAGGGTGAAAGGTGGAAGTGTAGCCTGCTGATTTTGCACAGCCAGACACAGGGGCTGAGTCTAGACTGGCAAGTTTTTCCGCAAAAAACTTGCCAGCTGTCTATACTGGCCGCTTTGAATTTGCGCAAGAATACTGACGATCTAATGTAAGATTGTCAGTGTTCTTCCGCAAATACAATGACTCTGCCGTTCGGAAAAAAGCCCTCTTGGGCAAATGCTTTTGCGCAAAAGGGCCAGTGTCAACAGCCGAGAACCGTTTTGTGCAAAAAAGCCCCGATGGCGAAAATGGCGATCAAGGCTTTCTTGCGCAAAACCGCGTATTAGACACTGACGTTTTTCCGCAAAAAGTGCTTTTGCGGAAAAGCGTCAGTGCCAATCTAGACGCTCTTTTCCGCAAATGCTTTTAACGGAAAAAGTTTTCCGTTAAAAGCATTTGCAGAAAATAATGCCAGTCTAGATGTAGCCGGGGCTATTATAGATGTCCAGCATGGAGCTATATGAGGGAGGCTTTGAAAGAGCATTTTAATAGTCCGCCACATCAGTGCTCAGGGCTGGAGTGTTCTCTGGGACCAGAACTTAGTGCTGCTAAGAACTGTGTAGCACTTGCTATTCATAATACATGACTGGGTATTTTCCTGAAGTTATGAATATTGTGGTGCTTGGTGTGTTTGTTTTGACTATCTCCATGCATTTTGCAATAGTGCACTAAAACAGTGTTTCTCAACCTTTTTTTTTTATGAAGTACCCTTTTAAAAAAATTATAAGTACCCTCCTTTAAAAAAACAATTTTTAAGTACCCCATGTACCTACAGTTTTCAGACACACAAAAATTTTTTCTACTGTTGCAACACATTTGTTTAAACAACTGAATCATAGCTGGGCAGGCAATGAAATTTCTGGGTGTAAAAAGTACAAAAATAATAAAGCATTGTAAAACTTAAAACAAAAATTCAGTTCTCTCCAAGTTTCAGTTGAGTTGACATACACCTCCTCCCCCTCCCCCCCCCCCCCCAATTTCTCTCAAGTACCTCTCAGGGTACTTGTACCACTAGTTGAGAAACACTGCACTAAAGGAATTTGATTCTCCAAAAACAGAACTTTACTGAATGGGGAGGGAGTGTGTGGAGAATCTATGCGCAAAAATAACTATAGGCAACAGTACACACATTTTTAACATAACTTATCAGGGTGATAATTTTAAATTGGAAAGGATTTAAACATTTATGTTCATCTGACTTCCCAGATGTAAACTACTGTGGCTACATTTTCACAGACTGTGACTCAAAGTTGTATACATGGAGTTGTGGTTTTCCTTGCTGTTCTCCGATATGAAGTGGTAGGTGATGCCATGGGTTATGCTTGGGAGTATAGGAAGCAGTGACTGTGCAACTCTCCAAGACTGAAAAAGTGGACATGTCAGTTAATCGAGGTCTGCAACATTTGGTTTACTGCCTGTCAAGTCTTATTGACCCTCCTGCCAAGTCTATTGTTCATGGTCCATTTTTCTTCCTGGTCCATTTTTCTTCCTTTCTCCTTCTCATTGGGGTAAGCTCTTCTGCCTGTATAGAAGGAGCACCCACTCAAGGCCAGCACGCCTATAAGCTGCTGATAAAACAGGCAGCTACCACTGGATTTAGAGACACAACAGAAAGGAAACATAAGTTTCAAAACTCCATTCCTTTATTCCTAAAGACACTTCACAAGAAATGTTTGTTGGCACTTAAGCTTTGAATCACCTCAACAGAAACTGAATGTAGCCTGTCAAAGATGAGGGAGTGGCAGGATTTTCTACTGCATGAAGCTATAAAATTTCAGTCTCTACTGCTACTGCTATAGAACAATGGCACCAGCACTATTTTCCACAGGCAGTGGTGATTTTAGCTGATATGTCCCTCTAGAGGGGTGATATAGGCTTAGAGAACACAGCTGCTACTGGCAAACTAAAGCCATCCTGGCCCACATGCCTCTAGCCTGTTTACTGTAAAGATGCCAGCCAACATCATCAGAGCTTGGCATTGGAAGAAATAAGGCCTATAAACCTTGAGGGAAAAATTACAGAGCATCTTCATGAAATTTGTATCGAGATCTCTCAGGAGAATAAAAGGGGCATCCATATACCTGGAAACAAAGTGTTCCACAAAGCTCAACTTAATCCATGAAAGCAGGGATGAAAGCAGATACCACATCTACCACTCTCTCCAATATGTCTATCACTTCTTGTAAGAACAGAACAACGGAAAATCAATAGCTTTTGCTTGTTCACTTGGGGATTGGCTAGGCATCATCTTTATGAGTAAATATTGTAAGGAAAATTGTAGGCACAAACATACTCAAGTTCCCTTCCCTTTCATTAGGCTCACTCATGTCCACCTGGCAGGACTGGCTGCGCTGCAGAGGACTCTCAAACTGGTCCTGATTTTCAATAAGGCTGCACTTTCCCTCCTTACACCCACATTCCATCTCCTCACTGTTCATGGCAGGGGTGTGTGTGTCTCACTCCTCTGAAGTAACCATAGTGATCTATTGTTGGCCTCCATGGCTTTGTGGCCTCCCTGGCAAATTCCTTCAGTTTCATGAAGCATTGCTGCTGGTCCCTGTCATACTCCTTTGTCTACTTCCCTCATGCAATCTGCTTGTACATGTCCACATTTCTGTCAGGTCTGTAGCCTGTTTGTACAGACCCAGGAGATCTACTATTGCCTGACTACTCCAGGAGTATGTGGAGCCAGATGGTCAGTTAGGCAATTACACATAAGAAGGATGAACTGCTAGATATGCTTGCCAAGGTGGGCCATTAGAAACAGGTGTTCCACAAAACACACCAGGGGGCACAGAGGCTTCTGGTCTCTGTGACTCCTGGGCAATGGGAGTTTCTTAAAATTGAGACCAAAGTGATCCCTGTTGCAGGGAATGGAGCATTATGAGGACTACTAGGCTTGACACAGGTTCCTATACCTAGTCAATGTAGACCTCAGTCAGCCTGCCATGGGTATATGCCATTTGGGGAGGTGGTTTTACTGCTTCCCTATAAAGTGGCGCTTACATCAGTGAGAGATAAACTGAAGTATAAAACCATGCACACGTAGGTCACTACAAGGGGATCTGCATATAAGTAACTATGTAATGTAGAGAACACCAATGATCAGGCCTAAAACAGTTACCAAATTCCTGCAACTGTAAGTTACCAGCACCAACTAACCTCAACAACTTTTAACTCAATAGGAAGTTTCTTAGAGACTACAGTATTTTTTGTTTTACAACCTCTACTATCAAATTCTGAGTATAAATCTGTAAACTATATGGATTTTTAAATGTCTTCTGTAACAACACACAGAGCAGATACCAGTGAAAATCCTCAGATTTGCAAATCAAATTAAATCCCGCAAATCAAAGTACTGTGTAAACATTCTCTACACTGATGCAATGGCCAACTGTAATAGGCTGATAATAGTCACGTGCTTTTACATTTATGAAAATATTTTTTTTACATCTTATCTACACCTAATATGATCCATGTTTCTCTCTTGTGCACTGAAGGAACTGAGTAAATTCATACATGGTTAATGTCTAACAAATTCAATTAATAATATACTTGCATATAACAGATCTTGCAAGGGTTAGCATGTGGTTATAGTGCCAGATCCTCAGCTGGTGTAAATCAACAAATATACTCAGGCTGAATACCTAAGTCCATGCTGTTGCGGACAGTCTACTGTAGCTGTTTGCAATATTTTTTCTTAATAGCAACTATAAAAAAAAGTCTAAAAACATTTTCACTAAGATATACAGTATCTTACTGAATAGTGAAATACTTTGTGGGGAATCTGCACATTAAATTTCAAGTAATCATTTTGTTCAATAGCACGTGACTGTACAAAATGATAACCAGATACAAATTCTTTGCCTTTTTCTTTAAGCATAAAATTACTTACAGGAATGTTGATGAACACTATATCAAACTCTGATGCTGACAGAAATCTTTTCAACGGCACCATGAAAAACTGTTAAAGAAAGTGAACACTGACTGGATTAATATATTCTCTATTCTATTAGGCAATTACATTATAACTATATAAATATTCTATTAGCATAAAGTTCAGTGGCTTACTTTCTCTATTGACTCCAAGGTCTCAGTGTATTTCTCTTCTGTCTGTTTTATCTCAGTAAGGCAGCAGCTTCTTATGTCATTTTCAATACATTTCTGCAATTAGAGGCAAGTTGAGTTCAATTCATTTGTGGATACCTCTTGCTTAAACTTTTATTTAAAGTTTACTGCTTAGCTATTACAACATACTGCTTTTGGGAAACCTCTCTGTATTGCAGCTTCAAAAGATTGTAACTACTACCAAAGGAACAGTTTTTAAAAGTACAATTAGCTGGTAACTTCTATAATTTTAGTAGTCCTTGAATTTTGTAAAATTTGGCATTCAGTATGTTATATTTTACATAACATAATCCTTCTTATATACTTTTAAATATAATATACAGGCAGTCCCCGGGTTACGTACAAGATAGGGACTGTAGGTTTGTTCTTAAGTTGAATTTGTATCTAAGTCGGAACTGGTACATATTATAGGGGAAACTCTAGCCAAACATTTCTCCAGAGCTCAGTTTTATTCTCCCACACCTCACTTCCCTCAGTCCTTTATTCTCAAGCTGAGGTGTCTGCTGAGAAAAGCCGCTCCGCGTCTCCCTGGTCTGCTGGCGGGGGCGCTAGCTTCACGTCTCCCTGGTCTGCTGGGGGGAAGCAGCTAGTGCGGGGTTGCCTCACCCCATTTGTAAGTAGGGATCCGATATAAGTCGGATCCATGTAACCCGGGGACTGCCTGTAGTGAGATTTAGATGAAATATAGATTCATATTTATTTACTGTGAAGCTAGATAGTGGGCCCTTATTTACAACAGTGAGACAGTGATCAGTACTCATACTAGTTAAAATCAATTAAATTCTCATGTCAGTAACTGCTATGAATAATGGGCTTGCATCTATCCTTTTGTGTTTGTTTATAACTTTTCCTTTTACCTTTTTCTCAACAAGAACAATTGCATTTAGATCCATATTCATATTCTATTCTGAGTCAAAGGCAGTAGTTGGATCTTAAGGCTCTATCCTGTAACCTTTTCATGTTTATTTTTTCTTTATACATTTGCAAATCTAATAGTAAAATACTGTATATAAGAAAGCCAATAAATCCGACAAAAATACATATTGCCAGTGGAACAAATATAATACCTACATTTTTACTGTATGAGATATACAATTACATAAATATATTGCTCCACATTTTAATCCGCTATTCTTTTAATTGGGAAATTAACATTTTTAGATCTTTAATTTTATTTTTCTCCCACAGATTCAGACTACCGCTGCCGTTCCTTCCTAACTTCGCCCTGTCTAAGTTTACATGACCAATGGTATTTCATTTGTGAAAAGAAAAAGAAAAAAGAAAAAAAAGTTTTCGAAGTGGAAAATATGTCAGGGGCTCATCAGCTACTAGGACTGGGAGAATATGCGTAATGATACTTGAAATTTGCATGGCTCTGAGTTTCACTGCAAACTAAAAATGCGGGTTAGAATCACAGAAAGATCCACTACTCTAACTCAAGTCTAGACAAAACATAAACCACTACAAATTGAAACTCCCAAGTTTCACAGTATTTCACGCATCACTTATTTTACTTTCAGAAATTTGCAACACAAAAGTTCCTTAAAATAAAATGCGCTTAGTATAAAAATATGCTAAAAAAAGTGATGATGCTTTTAATTTGTCATTAAGATACACAGTAATTGGGAGAGTCTACATATGAATCACATTGAAAAGTCAAAATCTTTCCAAGGAAAGTCTTCTCCTTGACATAATGAATCACAAGAACACATTATATGAACTGCAAGATATAGCTACCATTTGCTGCTTTTACAGCAGCAGTATACAGGAAAACAACCTTCAGAACTTTTCATTTCCATTTTCTATAAGCTCCTATACCACTGGAATTCAATCTGGAAATGCACATGGTGAGCTCCCACCTTAAAACACACATCTTGCTTGAAAAAGCGTGTCATCACAATGAAGTTTGGCAGGTAAATCTAAAGAATGCTTGTAGGGAGATGGATAGTAAGTTAATAGAAAGGCTAATGAATAAATGTTGTGCGTGGGCTTGTACATTTTTATGGCTGTTTTGTAAAACTCTCTCTCTCACACACACAGTACGTCTAGACTGCACTATAAATCGAAATAAGATTCACAATTTGCACTGCATAAATTATGTATCTTATTTCGATCTTATTTTGAAGTAGGCTACTTTGCAATTTGGCAATATCTACACGGTGCCAAATTTTGAAATAAGGCACTATTTCGAGACATCCCTTAGTCCTCGTGAAATGAGGTTTACGGGGATGCCGAAATAGTGTGTCCATTATTTTGAAAATTATTTCAAAATAGTGGGCACGTTTCTTGGACACGGCAGTCCAATAGCCTGGTAGCCTAGACGTACCCAGTGAGAGAGAGAGAGAGAGAGAGAGATGCTAGTTCTCTATTTAATTATTCCATGACTAGTGGTATACAGTGGCCAAAATAATATGGGGATAATATGGGGAGTACCTTTGTGTAAACAGTAGCATTTATTTTTTCAAATGGTCTTAACTCAAGTTGCTGATAAATCTTAATATCCATATCTAACTGGATCTTAACTAAATCACAGTTTATATTTTAATGTTTTAATGTTTTCTTCTTACTGTTGAAGTAGCGTTAATATTTTCCTTAACAGAAAAAATTACCAAAGTGAATCTTTGTCCCTTTTTCTATAAGAGAATGTTGAATTTCAGAACAGGATGACAATATTATGATCCACTGTATATGTTACATGGTCACTGCAGGCAAATGTGACCTCAACCATAAGAACAAAGCAGATCTGAAATATCTAAATTTCAAAAAAATACATACAATGTTAGTGCAAACAGCTAACAGGTTATTTAATGAATGTTAATAAAAATTAACTTTCACGCTACCACGCTTTATTAATATGTCTGTAGTCACGCAAAAAATGGAAATCATACAGGCTGATGTGGTGCTTCATCTTTCATTAAGTCTTCATATACTTCCCCACCTTCATCTTCTCCATACACACAATCGTATAACTCTTCATCCTCATCTACACCATTTTCACTAAAAGAAAAAAGAAAAAACAACAACATAAAGGGTAGGTGTATTGAATAGGAATTAGTGTGTCAAGACTAGGAAACTAAATTTACTAACTGTCAGGGTTCTTGCAGTAAATCTAAATAGATGAATAAAAAAGAAAATTTCAAACTGAACTAAACCACAAAAGGACTATCTAATCAAAACTTTTTTTTACCTCAGTACATTTAAAATCTGGCTTTATAAAATGAACAAAAGTTTGAGAAAACAGAACTAAGTCTCAATCTATGACAGGAATTAAGATAAGGTTTCTAAGCAGAAATGGGGCATTTAGTTCCTGTACCCAAATTACAGATGGGCCTCAGTGTTACATCAACACATCTATCCTAAAATGAGTGAAACCCTATGTACTGTCATACTGTACAGCGCAGTGCAGTGGGCCCAGCCCAGTCGGAGTGGCCCCTACCCATGGCAGGCCCAGCCTGGCAGGGGTTCTGGGTCCACCACACTATGCCATGGGTGGGGGACACTTCAGCCCAACTGGTCTGGAGTGCCACCCACCCGCCCCCGTTTAAGCAGCTAATTGGTTAATCATAGAATCTTAGGGCCGGAAGAGACCTCAGAAAGTCATTGAGTCCAGCCCCCTGCCCAAATCAGGAACAATCCCAACTAAATCATCCCCGCCAGGGCTCTCTCAAGCCAAGACTTATAATCTGTAGGAAAGGAGATTCCACCACCTCCCTAGGTAACCCATTCCAGTGCTTCACCACCCTCCTAGTGAAATAGTTTTTCCCTAATATCCAACCTAGATCTCCCGCACTAACTTGAGAACATTGCTCCTTGTTCTGCCATCCGGCACTACTGAGAACAGCCTCTCTCCATCCTCTTTGGAACTTCCCTTCAGGAAGTTGAAGGCTGCTATCAAATCCCCCCTCACTCTTCTCTTCTGCAGACTAAATAAGACCCTAAGCCTCTCTTCATAGGTCATGTGTTCCAGATCCCTAATTTTTGTTGTCCTCCGCTGGACCCAGGGCCGGATGGAGGCATGGGCAAACCAGGCAGCTGCCCGGGGTGCCAAGCGATGAGGGGCGCCTGTTGGCAGCTGTAAGGGGCGTGCCAGCCAGCACCACCCTTCCCCCCACGGCCGTGCGGCCCTGCATGGCCCAGTGTGCGTGCCAGCAGCACATGCCAGGCCGGGCTGGGCAGCGCATGCATCGTGCAGCTCGGGGGCAGGCCCCGGGCTGCGCGCCAGCAGCCATAGCCAGCGCGCACATGCGTCATGCGCCTAGGCCCAGGGCGCCAAAAGGGCTCTTCAATGTGTCCACATCCTTTCTGTAGAGGGAGGCACAGAACTGGACATAATATTCCAGATATGGTCTCACCAGTGCCGAATAAAGGGGAATAATCACTTCTCTGGATCTGCTGGCAATGCTCCTCCTAATGCACCCTAATATGCCATTAGCCTTCTTGGCTACAAAGGCACATGGTTAAACATAACATTTCACTGATTAACTGATTAAATGGGATTTTATATCCCTACCTTGTACAGTAAAATACTCTATCCAAAACAGCAAGCACCCTGCAAACCCTTACTTTCATGTGGAAATGTACTCAAGTGAAGAGTTTCCCTGGATTCTGTGGGACACTCATATAAGTAGTTTTCAAACTTTTTTTTTCCTCATAACCCAGTTGAAGAAATTGTTGATGCCCACAAAACAACATAATTTGACTAGAGTGTGGGTTCCGTAGTGGGGTTGAGGATGACAGCTTTCATGTGTTGGAGGGGGCTCCGGCTTTGAGGGGGGGGGTCAGGGGTTGACCTCTCCTGGCCCCACAGACCAGGCTGCCCCTGGGCGCTGCCAGCAGCAGGTTCCCAGCCAATAGGAGCTAGTGCTCAGAGCAAGGGCAGTGTGTGGAGCCCTGTGCTCTCTTCCCTGCTGCCAGCTGCTTCTGGGGTGCAGCGCAGTCTGTGGTGCTAGGACAGGCAGGGAGCTGCCTTAGCACCCCACTGGTCACCTGATCCCCCTGAAGCAACAAGACCCAGTGCCTGACATTCCATGACACAGTTCTGGGTCGCAACCTGTAGTCATATGAATAAAGATGCATTTATGCAGAATTATCTGCAGGATCTAGGAAAAGCATTTACTGAGGCTGTCATTTTATATCCTCATTCTGATGATTCAAACAAATAATTCTAGATCAGTGTTGGGCAACCTGTAGCCTACAGGCCACATGCAGCCCATCTGGGTTCTAAATGTGGCCTGTGCAAACACTCTGTATCTCCTTCAACCGCACCTCTTGCATGTTGGAAGTCCTGCACTTAACTAACCCTTCCCCTCTCTCCAAGTACTTCTGGAGTTCTATGAATCAGCTAATTTGTGCCCCATCCCTGCTCCTCTCCTTCCCTCCCAAAGCTTAAACACTGCAAATTCTTGGTGCTCAAGCTCTGGGAGGGTAGGGGAGGAGCAGGCATGGAGCATGAATCAGTTGATCCATAACATTCCAGAAGTGCTGGGAGGGAGGGGTAGGAAAAGGGTGTGGGGGTTAAGGGAAGGGTTACAGTGGGGTTGGGGCCAGCAGCAGTAGGAAGGGTTGAGTACCCCTGGCAAAATGAAAGGTGACACACATTTAAACACGGGCACATGTGAGGTAAGTGCTGATGGCACACAACATTCTAAGAGCCATGCCCTCCCTCTACTTCTTTATGTTTCTTTTGCTGGCCAGAGATCACTCTGTGTTGAAAACACATGATAAAGGAGGAGAATCAAAGGCAATATATTTAACATTATTCTTGGGGTCACAGTTAGTGCACATGCTCAATTTCAATCTCGCGGCCAACTGAGATGAAGGAGAGCCACTCATGCAGCCCACTCTCTAGCCTTGGTTGCTCATCGCTGTTTTAGGTTGCATTCGCAATCCATCACCAGATCCTTCTTGAAACCTTCCCTTATCTTCATATGTACGAAAATCAATCATTAGGATAAAGCACTTTTTTTTGACAATTAATTCTTCTTTTCTAATCAATCCTTGGTCAATCAAATAAAAATCACTCATTTTAAAATAGTGTATTTCATCACATCATTTAAGTAATAGCTATATATCAGAAAGCTGAAAGCTTTCATTCTGCTTAAAGATTTACCACATACTCTAATAAATCAGGAAGACCTTTGTAGATATCTTCATCATTAACACTTTCTTCTGTAGGGAATGGCCTAGAAAGACAAAAGACCACATTATTAACCAAAGACAGTGCCAGCATGGCTGTTCAGTTTGGATGATATGCTGCTGAAATTTCAATGTATATTAAAATGTCTGTATCTGAATACACCTTTCTCTTTCTCTCAGCTCCAAACAGACATTTTCACCATGTACAATTACTGATCTTGATTCCAGAACAGCCGATGGTACAATTAATTTACCATGGGCAGCACTGGGAAATGATCTTGACCAGCTATGTGGTTTATGAGTTAATTTTTAAAAAAACTGCCATGCATGCAGGATGGGACTGTTACGTGTAATCGTGAATATGAATCAGAGATTTTAAAAGCAAATATATTAACTATTTTGTATTTAGAATTAGGTCTAAATTCTATGATTTTGAGGTCATTTATGTTCTAAAGTCTCGACAGTTTGGGTGGTGAATTTAATGATTGAGAATTGAATCTGAGAAACGTCACAATGCGGGCTGAATGGGAATGTGGGAGAGCATATAATTATGGCTCCTAGTTTTATCAGGAGTATTCAAATGCCATTCTGATTTTAGGAGGGGATGAGAAGAGGGGCTTTGAAGCTTACTATCAGGCACAGAGTGACTGGCCCTGTAGGGGAGTTGGACCCTGCATCACCTATGATTATTCAGCTGCCTTTCAGCTGAGACTGTGAGATCAGGGATCAGATGATAACTTGAAGACCATCTTATCTTCCTAAAAGTCAGCAAGTAGTTCATCTGAGTACTGCAAGAGTCCCTGGGTCAAGGAAAAGAAGGCAGGTAGATATAAGTGTCCGAGTAAGAGAGTTTGGAGTGCATAAATCTCTGTAGGGAGCAGGCTAGATGGAGAAGGGAGTCAGGAGGCTTGCCCAAACTCTAAGCAGATGGCCTTAGAAGTGCAGTCTTACAGGGTGCAGTCAGGCCTTTGTACAAGACCCCTCGGTGGGAAGAGCATGGTTGATTAAACAATACAAGTTCAGCAAACCACACAAGTTCAGCAATTTTGGTTTGAAGAAATAAAAGCGAAGTCCTGAAGAAAAAGGACAAAAAAAGAAAAAATCCTGTGGCTGGAAAGTGTTCTGCAGAGCAAATGTACGTTCCTGCTGCCTTTGCATAAAATCATAGAACACAAGAATTGGAAGGGACCTCGAGAGGTCACAAAGTACAATTCTTTGTACTTACTGCAGGAGCAAGCACCATCTAGATCATCCCTGACAGATGTTTATCGAACCTATTCTTAAAAAAATTTCCCTTGGAGATTCTACACATTCCCTAGGTAATTTATTCCAGAGCTTAAACACCATGACAGGAAGCTTTACCTAATGTTCAAATAAAACCTCCCATGATGCAATTTAAGCCCACTGCTTCTTGTCCTATCATCAGAGGCTAAGAAGAATAATTTTTCTCCCTCCTCCTAGTAACAACCTTTAGGTCTTGAAAGCTGTTTTCATGTCTCCTCTCAGCCTTCTTTTTTCCATACTAAACAAACCCAATTATTTTCATTCCTCCCCATAGGCCATATTTTCTAGACCTTTAATCATTTTTGTTGCTCTCCTCTGAATCTTCTCCAATTTGAAATATGTCACTTTTCCCTATTCCTTTCCCCAATTTCCCTAGGTCTCTTCCCCAGGCTTGCCTTTCTCTGATCCAGCTCAGCCATGAAGCACTCTAGGCTTGCCTTTGTAGCCATTCATAGCTTTCCCAAGCAGTAGCATGAAATTTATATTCTTGATATGTTAACTACTGCCCACAGGGTTCCAAAAAACAGCAATGAAAATTGAGCAGAGCCTTGTATATTTTGCACCACTGCTGCCTGAAAAGTCTGCAGCTATACCAGAAGCACTGGGAGCTACCTTCTGGTTCAAAGAAACACCTGAATTTGAATTTGGTTTATAGTTAATTGACATTTGGAAGGTTTTCTTCACAATCATAATTCCTGTACTATGCTTATTATTTTAAAGAGAGTTTTAATAGTTCTTAAATTGATGAGGTAGGCTCCTCAAATGTAAAAGGAAAGCAACTCAATAGCCACTGGTAAGTTCCATAAGTTTGAGCCCTACACAAGAGTATTCGTTCACAACATATCTAAATCCTTTGTGATCAGGTATCTTTATAACATACTTAACACATGAACAACAATTCCTTGCTGGTGTATAACTGAGTACATACATAGAGCAGGCTATTACTAGCAACCCAATATAACTTATTAGAGTGAGTTATTTGTCACAAGTTAGGTCATTTGAAAATAATTATGTTCATCAGAATATCAAGAGCAACTAGCTCACGTATTATATACAAGCCATTTAATCTATTTCAAATTTTAAGTTGTTTTCATGAAAAAGAAAGGCATTTTAATAACCTCTTTCGCTTTTTATCTACAACTATTTATGAAGAGACAAACATATATTTCCAATATGATTTAAAATAAATCTGGGAGTGAGACTTTAGCTGTAATTTGCATTCCAAAGTGAATCTGAACAAACGATACATTCTTTAAAGAAGGTGTTTTACAGAAAAATAAATAGATATTGGTTTATAGATAAAACAACAGCGCAAATGGCTGTTCCTTAACTTATGTTTATTCCTACATATAAAGGATGTAGATGCACAAAAAAGGCTAAGCAAATTTCCAGGTGATGTTCGGCACAATAGGGTGAATTAGGGCACTGAAGATTCAGAGAGAAGCTTCATTTTGTGGGCTAGGTGATACGTGTTTCACAGAAATACAGCGTTTAAAAGTCACAAATGCTACTCTAGACAAGAACAGTCCTCTGCATACAATTAGAAGCACAGAAAAAAATAAGGCTAAAACAATGCAACTGATTTCATATTTCTTTTAATTGTATATCATGGAAAAATGTTACTTGTTTTGTAAGTGATAAAAAGGAAATTAAGCAGCACTCGTGTCATACCTTATTCCTGTTACTAATGCAATAGGAGTGCGAGAAAGTTTTGATAGTGTTTCTATGACCTGCAGAAAAAGAAGGGAATAGAAAATATTTGTTCAGTTAATATCATATTTTGTACTCTATTTTTCAATTCAGCAATGAGAGCCTAATCATACACCACAAATAATAGGCACCCCAGATCTGGCCCTGCAAAGTGCTACATGCCCTCGACTCCCGTAGTATCAGCTGCTCCCAAGATTAGGTCCTTAGTGCTTTTGAGGAAGGAATGGGAAGCAATACACCCTAACAATAACAGAATATTTTAAATTCACAACAAGCAGGTTCCATTTGCATTTAAACATGAATGAAGTATTCAATAGATGTTATCCTGGAGATTGCCACGAGAGCCTGGTTTTTAGGGGGAAAAAGACCCATACCAGCTATTCCACCAACTGACCAGAAGAGGGAGCCATAAGGCAAATCATTACTATTCATATGTTTCAGATAAAGAAGTTGGCAGCACAGAAAAGGAAGCAAATCCCAACTCATCTCCAGAAAATAAAAAATGTTTTAAAATGTTATTTTAAGGAGACTGACCAAGAAA